ATTTATTTTATTTTTATTAAATATCCTTGTGTCTATAAAATGTTACCATTAATGATTAAACTTTTGCAAGTATAACTTCAAATATAACACAAATGACACACAACTTAATATATAAAAACCAAAACAAATACCTTTTACAAATTATTTTAATTATAAACTTAAAGCAAATTATAGATAGAAAAGCTATACATTTTATCACCTGCAAAATATATAACACAAAGAAAATTACGTATTTGTGTTACTACCGGGAATGTTTTCTTGGCTGTCGATACACTTTAAACATGCATTTAAAAAATATGTGCACGTAACGATTCAGCCTTTAATTATTTCAATTCGATAAAATCTTACGTATATAACATATACATTGCAACGTTAGTAACCATTCTCACAATCAGTCTCTTTTTTTAACTCTATTAGTCACTCAGTCTCCGTAAACATTTTGTGCTAAAATAAATTGGTAAATGTTTAGCCAATTGAAGTCGTACATTAAGAAAGTGACCATTTAAACTCGTGCTCATAGCACAGAATAGAAACGCTGTGGACGAGCGACATGTCGCTCGTGGACTGGCTGCGTAGTTCCAATGTGTACCACCCGTGGACATGGGCTAGTTTACGGGGCGGAAAAGTGATTACACATTCTCTTATGGACCTGGCCGCTCTCAGGCTTCTCTCTGGTGTAACTCAATCAAGCTTCGGATTGGCAAACAAATGCGGTCTCACATGTTCAATCATGCACATGCGTGCATTTATTTTGAAAAATGATATTTTTTGATAATACACTTAATTTTTATAATTCATTTTGTCACTACAATTAATTTGTGATACTTTTTTAAAAATATGTCATTTTAGAGTGTCATTTTTAATGATTAAATATTTCATAGATTTTATTATTTTACAAGTAAAAAAAAATATTTTTCACTATACTCTAAATATCGCGGCGCTCGTACAAATTCCTTCTTATTGGTAATGTTGCTTTAAAATTTTTTACGAAGATTTACAATTCCAACAACGTAAAGTAGATAAAACGTTCACTTAAATACACGGACATGTACAGTACGAAGCACCATATCGTGCGCTGTGAAGGGACAAGTAGTTCTCCTTCGGCCGCCTTCTACTACTACGCACCAGCGAGATTTAATCCATATATCGGCATGGTTACTGATGATACATGTCATTGACAATGCTGATACCAAGGACAATTTTTCATTTCGAAACCTTATCGTCGTATATCTCAAAAAAAATTTTGTTCAGAAACAAACAACAAAAACGCAAGATTCTTCCATCCACCCAACATGTTACTTATGATTTCGCAAATTCCGACATGGATGTTTTGACTTCTCTCATATGCTAAATAAGAAATTTAAAAATGAAGACTTGCACAAAATCTTGTAGAAAAAATCCATATATGACGCAAAAAGAATTGGCTCAAAGATTGAATGTGACGCAACAGGCCATTTCACATCGCTTAAACAAACTATGAGAAAACTTCAAAAATTAAAAAAAAACGCATGGACTTGCCTAGTCAAATTCGTCGCAACACTTGCATTTCACTGCTTTCAAGGGTATATTCTAACACACGCTACTGTCACTTACTTACGATAAGTGTAAAAAAGTAAAATATATTTAAGTAAGAGAGTAAAATATCATGACAATAGATAAATGTCATAGTGAACCAATTATTAAAATAGTAAGAATAAAAAATAAAACACTATAATAAATGTGTATAATTAGCATTAAATTTTTTTTAAATATCACGAATAAAAACTAGTTAGGCAATATTATAATAAATATTATACTATAGTTATATATATAATTATATATATTTTTTAAACTGTATATATTTTAAAATATATATATTTTAAACTATATATATATTTATATATAAACACTATAAAAAATTGTACAATTAGCGTATATATATTTATATATAAACATAACTATTATAATATTGCCTTACTAGTTTTTTTATATTAAAAAAAAAATTTAACGCTACTTCTACACGTTTATTATAGTGTTTTATTTTTTATTCTTACTATTTTAATAATTGATTCACTATGACATTTTATCTATTGTCATGGTTTTTTACTCTCTTACTTAAATATATTTTACTTTTTTACACTTACCGTAAGTAAGTTTCTCATATCACGTAAAAGCTAATAATTAAATAAATAAATATTTGATATAAATTACTGAATAGAAATCACTTTCAATACAGAGTTAATCTTTTCAATGTGATAATATTATAAAATAATATATGACTGTCGGTATCATTGGTAACCGTGCCGATATATGAATTAAATCTCGGGCCACTGGCACGTGGTAGTAAGAGGCGACCGGAGGAGAACTACTTCTCCCCCCTCACGGCGCACGATATGGTGCTCCGTAATGTAATACCATGAATTTTTAATTTTGTTTTTCAGTTAATTCAAATTATAATATAGAATGATACTATTCAAAATTGTGATGTAATTTGAAATTTTCATCAGTCAACTGTTAAAATGGTTTTTGCATATTATCATTCTTACAGTTGTTCAAAAGAACTAGAAGAAAGTTTGATAGTTCATATACGACGCAACATCGTCGAAATTCGTGATTGTATAAGACAACGAAGAACAACATGAACAAGTCAACTCTAAATCTTTCGGTATTACACAAATTGACAATTTGGGAGTTTTTTCCGTTATATAACTCTAAAAAATTAAAAAAAAGATAAATATACTTTTGCACGTAAAATAAAACCATCAGATCAGTATATATAAAAACATGCAGAATATTTATTTTTTAAAATAAATTATCTGATTGCATGTAATTAGTGTTTTCAATTATAAAAAAGATAGTTACCTGAAAGAATTGCAAGAACTTCGTTATCGTTACCGTCTTCAAATAGTTTAGCTCGGTATCTATTCTGTCAAATTTGTATTGTTGACTCAAAATCTCGTTCCAGTACATTTCGGACATCTTGTACAACGTTTCTGGTCTTTTATGTTTTTTAATCACTTGTGTTTTTAGTTCTTTAAATTCCGAAATAGTTATCTTTTTCATCTTATTCTGAAATGTATAAATACGACATTGTAAATCATAAAAAATTGTAAAAAAAAAATGATTTTTCTTACACGCAGCACAAATTGTGCATCTGTGCATATACTATATACGTAAAACGTGAAAGACATTTATTGTGTTGATACTGCACATGTCGTTACTTACTATTGTATACATCATGAATTTATTAATATCTTTGTTCATACAAATTGGGCGAAATTCGTTAGTCGGGCCTTGAAATGCAATTGTCAAGCCTTGCATTACGTTTCCTCTGTGTCGGCCACAAACTATACCAATATCTGTAGCCTGTTTAGCTGTTTTCAGAAGTGCTTCTAGCACAAGGTCCAAAAGTACATCCGACTCTGTCGATCGGTGATCAATCTGATAAAATACTAGCATGCACGAGTACATGGGATTGGGACACTTTCTATACAACATGCACTGGTACCCTGTAACAAAACGTATCGCAATAACATAATAAATTATATCAAGCGAACAATATATAACACAGGCATAACTGCAGTAATATTCTAGTTTCTTTTTTTAAGAAAATTTGTAGCGCATATGTAAAACTATTTAACAAACGTATTCGCGTCTCTCTTTAAATTTGTTACAACAATTAATTCCTGTATAAAAACATATCAAACATATATAAAAAAAAAAAAAAAAAAGTAAAGTAGAAATATATAATACAGTGCATTTCTGCTTTACTTAATTATTTTTTTTTTGTATTTGTACTGTTTTTTCTGATCACACTAGAAGTTCTCTAAGCTCGTGGGCGCGATTTTGTCAATTAAAAACTCGTGTGTATATTTTCAAGTTACTTACATTTTTTTAGCTTAACTTCGCGATATAATAATCCAAGCTTCTCATCCGGTATCGGATTGATTTTCGTAAACTTTGACCTGTTCTTGATGATGTTTTCGACCATGGAAGACATTTTCAAGGCTTCGCTTGCGGTTATATTACCGTGAAATAGACATTCCACGTGAAGAGACTCGGTAAATCCCAGTAAGAAATTTTCGCGAAATTCTTTCCACAGCGGTTCTGCGAGAAGATTATTGTGGATAAGTATTATTCTCTTTCTCTCTCATACACATACACACATACGCGCGCGCGCGCGCGCGCACACAGAGAAGTAAAACATTTGTTTGGAATAGATTGTAATGAAATCTTCAAATATATTTTGATAATTATTTTATATTACATCTAATCTTTTGATCATCTTAAATCAAACGATTACAAAACGACACAACATATACTTAAGAAATTTGCGGGAAAATTTAACGACAAAAAATATAATAGACTTATAAATAAACTTACTTATTTCGCTTTTCCATATTTGATGCGGCGTCCACACGCGTTCGGTTAATAAATACGGAAGGTAGTGGAATACTTGTTCATACGGCTGAAGATTGTCGAAATCGCGTATGTTCACTTTGCATTGTCCTGATTTCTGCAGAAAACAACGGATTCTCTCAATAAGTAATAAGTAATCCTTTGTATTGTAAATCTCAAATATTAATATTCAATCAAGTCTCGTATCTCAAAGTTTGTACGTACGTGTTGCGCTAACGATTCGAGAAATAATGTGAAATTTACTTCTCCCGGCGTCATCATGATATATGTGACAATCTTCTTCAGCAATATATGTATCGTGTCATCGAAACCGTTTATTTGGAGCTAAAACAAGCGCAATTGGCCAATTTCAGGAATTTTATCTAATTTAAATAGTTTTTTTTTTTTTTTTTTATACGATATAACGTTATATAATATTGCGTTTTTTTTCTACAAATAGACTTCCACGTGATTATGTCAGAAAAATTATTATCTTCTCTTTTGCTCACCATGATGCCTCGAACGGTTGTAGAAAGTTTCCATCTCAAATCAACTAAACCGGCAGGATATTTGTATCTTTGGAGACAGGTGTTTAAAATATTGACGTACCACGAAGTCAATTTAGCGTTGTCATAGTTCTCGTTCGTTATCGGACTACGAGATATAAAGAGAAAAAAAAGTCTTGCGTTTAGCACGTGATTTCGCAACAACGCTCGTCTGTGTGTTAAAAGAATCGCGTGTGCTTGAAAAAATTTGTTTCTTACCAGACAAAATGGAAATATGCAGTGACTCTTGGTACGCGACAGATAGTATCTCTTTTGTACCAGGTTTTTACGAATGGCGTGACCCCTATGATCTCGGGAACGTCGGTTTTCTTGTAAAAATATAGTTCTGATAGTAACAATTCCAACAGGAAGAATAATTTATAGATTATCTTATATATATATATACAAACTTACTTTGTGCATTAAGTGTGATTCTGTTAGGAAGAAAACATCACGGTTGTATGGTTTTAGATTAACTTTCAATGGTATAAATTCATTAGGGAGTGGTGCATTCAGTTCCTGCACTTGTGGATGTCCGTTTAGCCACGTGGAATATTCTTCCGGAAGTACTAATTTAATTCTGCACGGAATACGACCGTACTTATTACTTAATACCGCGTTTTTGTGTAAAGTTGACGGATGACTCAGATAAATTCTCAACTTTAAGCTCGGCTGAAGAATATTTTGAAGTGTGTGCTTGATGCCGTGTTGCAACCAGTGTTGCGAAATGATACCGCAGCGCAGAACTTGGTCCATGTCCACGTGGTGTATGTGACGGACGTGATTACACACAGTCTCAAGAGAAGGTTCTATTTTTTGATAACGGAATTTGAGTTCCATTATTTCTTTGTACTCCTGCAAGAAAGTACGTAAAATATTTCTCTCACTTCCCATCTCTCTTTGTTGTTAACCCTCGTTTAACGCGGATATGTATTCCGTTCCACAAAACTGCCGCGTTACATTAAAATCGCGTTATACGAGGGTTACTTGTTATCAAACAATTATACGTGAGATTATAGTTTATCAATTACATTATATATCCGTCTTAGTTCGGAATCGCTAAGTTTGTTCAACACTTGGACATACTGTATGAACAGCATCATAACGTTATCAAAATAGTTCTTGTAACCGCTCTCCGTTAACTCGAGAGCAACAATGAAGAAACTGAAGCCTCTTGGACAAACCAGTTCTCCGGCTTCCACGGACTTGGCCCAAGACTTGTGGCGCAAATTTGTCACAAACGATCCCCTGGCCTCATATTCGAACAAATAGGAGAGAAATCGTGTCAACTGTATTAAAAAAAAAAACAAACAAACAAAACAAAATGCGTATTAATATTGGACAAAAATGCAACAGCATTTGTATAAATCACGTACATAATAAAAATCAATATTTGAAAATAATACTGCGTGCAACAACGAGAGTTAAAAAAATAATTATTATATTTGTTAAAAAGTATAACGTGTGTTTGTGTAATTTTTTTTTTTGATTAACTGAAATTAACGCAAACGTCTTACCGGATTATTTCTGATACTTGTCAATTCACCGCACAAAGGGAACACTATACGGATGACATAATTAAGCTTAGAAGGTGCGTTCTCGGGTACGGAACACCATATTTTGTACACAGATGTAAATTTGGGCATGATCCAAGTTAGACGAGGATCTTGTATGTTTCTTATTTGTGAGAAGAGCACTTTCACGTGTTCTTCAAGTTGGTCCAAGTTTTCTTTAAGTGTGAAATTTATGTGTTAGATTTTTCACTTTTACTATTCGAAACATCACAGAGACTCGATACATATATAAAATATCACGTGATTAATATATTAGATAATATAATATTGTACAATTAATTATTAATATACTCAAATTCACAAGAATACATATATATATGTATGAGAATACATATATATGAGAATATGTCAAAAAATTTGTTACAGTATAAAACATTAATTTTTTTACGCGTCTAAGTGTGACGATAAATATTCAATTTCTCGCAAGATGATGACCAAAAGTCGTTATTTGTGTAAATTTATTAACAAAGTACGTTAAAACTTATCACGATTTGTCAAGAACGTTAAGTTGTAATTTTACTTCATCGTACCTCTTCCATAAACGCACAGTGTCATTATATGAGAGCTGTAATATTCTGTAAAAAAATTTCTCACAGTTACTAAGAAGTCATCATAATCAAGATTCCACAAATATTTAAATCCGCCGCAGACGTTCTTCGTAAACTCGTGATTCTCATCTATTGTGCATTTAATTGTTGTCGTTATCTCCTGATTCCAATACTTGTCTACGGGTACGGTATTCCTCTCGTCATATTCATACGCAATCTGTTCGATATCTTCTTCAAACAAATAGTACATCATCGGATGTTTCGCAGGCAATTCACAAAAAGCGGGAAATTGGAACAGTCCGCTAAAGTGTCTCAAAGCTTTTACAAAAAATTCCGAATTTATTGCGAAGTAATAAGTGGTATTGTTTTCCGTAGTTTGGGCGTTGACGAATCCATTGCGATGGTCTATTTCGTTGAAAAACTTATACGACATGGATTTCTTGTCACATTGCGAGTAAAGCATGTGTTGAACAATGTGCGCGGTTCCTTGCAGATGTATCGGATCGTTCATGTAACCTGCGCAATAATACGTTTATGTCAAACTGTGCGCAAATAATCATTTATTTGAGTCAGTTAAATGTGATATTAACTAAATAACAGATACACGTGTGTGCGTGCGTGTATAAACTGTCAAAAAGTCAAATTATATGTAACGTACGTATTTAATATAAAATCCACATTTTATGTCAAGATAAAATTATGAAATTTCTATTTCGTATATAGTTTTACATGTGTCTACGAACAAAACATCCATCATTTTTTTTTCTATTTTTGAAAAGTAACGACGTTCCAGTTTCTATAGAATTATTTTTGCGTGGGATTACGTGTGTGTACGTACGGGAGAACGATATAAACTTACCCACACCAACGTCCAGCGCAGCGGCGCTTACTGAGGCCTTTGGATCGCTTATTAAAAGCACTTGGATGTCGTTGATCAGCTTTATTCTTCTGTATGACCGGGTGTCGTTCTCCGGTTTTATAATGTTGTCGCACTTCGTCTTCAAACATTCTAGAATATTAATTGCTGAAGCGCCTTCGTCATGCGACAAATATTCGTCATCCACGAAACCCGAACATTTGTTCCAGGGTTTTAAAGTATCCAACAACTCAAGAATCGTTTTGCACGACATGATTAAGATACTAAACAAAAAAAACAAGATGAAGATATACTGAAATCAGAATTTTGTTGCTCCTGAAACATGTTTATTTCTCGATTATATAATTTTACAATTTGCAAGTGTCGGAGATTGGCGATTTATCACGAACGATCTAGAGGCGCTAAAATGTGCGAATTGTAAATTTATAAAAATCGCAAACAGATTCGATCCCGATTCTTTTCTGCAAAGATAAAACAAGTGCTTAACGACAAATAATTGAAATGAGCAATATCTTACTCGTAAATAATTAAAACAATCGCGCAGAATCGCAACAGATTTTGAACGGATTTACCACGTTTCATATTCGAGGCGTTATTAGATACCGATAAGGTTTTTCTAGACGACGTTCGGAAGCGAACACGAAATCTGCTACAAATTTGCCACAAAGCTTCGACAAAATTCTTTCGTTTCAACGTGAATTGCAATAATTTTAAACGTATATGTTGTCTCGCCATCGTCCAAGACTCAACACGCTGTGAGTTTAGTAGAATAACAAAGCTACATCTTTTCAGATTTGAATGTCACCTCTTCGGATTTGAATATGATCGTTTTGTGTGACTTGTATCACACAATAATGCGATCACGAGAGACGAGTATTTACACGGACAGAGAGAAAGAGAGAGAGACAAAGAGAAACACAAAATACTCTCTCCCTTTCACTTTCTCGCACATTCTCTCTCTCTTTGATTTTTTATCTTTTTATCGTAATCAAATATAACAGAACTCAATTACGCGTACAAAGCGTGTCAAGGGTCGACCGCATCTCGGGAGTCACGTTGGTTTCGTATACAAAAACCAGAAAAAACATCTGTCTCTTGGCGGTAACATTTATGTCTTAAAGTTATAAAAATTTGACTCGTGTGTACAGCTTCTGGTCGCGCGTTCATTACTTGTACGCACACGATCGAAAAATTGTGAGAATTTACCAGAAAATTGTATCTTCGAGTTGCGACGAACGCGATGTTGGCCTGGAAAAGCAAAGCGAAGCTGAGGAAGAAACACCTTGAACTCCAGAGGAACACCGAAACGAACTAAAAATGGTTTCCCAAACAATTGTCTCTGTTGCAGATACACGTGTCGTTTCTGAGAAGAAAAAGAAAACCCAATAATTCCATCTCTGTTATATCCTTTCTGTTTCTTTCTGTAGCGCATCCTGAGCGCGCAACTGTGAGGTCCCGACCACGTGTCATTTCCCTCTCAGAAGAAGCACGTGGGGATAGGAAGCCAATAATATAATCGATATATCATCGATATTTCCCGACGAGTAAAATTTACGTGCATGTTACTTCGATTCGCCCTCTCGCACTTTCGTGAAAAATCATTATTTACAATTCTTCTTTAAATTTAGCGTGTTATCCACGCGTGGGAGGAAAACCGCAAAAATAAAAATATAAACGCAAATCGACGCAAGATCAAGAACGCAGTAAAATGATCGATTTTACGAATCGAGTGAAAAATCGGTTTTTCGGCGACATCTATGTAAAGCGACAGATGGATTGAAAACTACGTTTAGCGGGAAAAAACATTTCATCATCAAGACGTCAGAAAATTATGACAAATGAAAAGAAATTTAAAAGAGAAACTTGTGTGGGAACAAACACGTTTGGCAACGCAACTGCTCAAAAACCATCGATGGACAAATATACAATTTGCTAAAACCAATTAATAATAATGATAATAATTATTATTAAGTCTCTTATACAATATTTATAATTCATAGGTCAATTAACGTAGTTCTGTCCCCTTGAACTCGAAGGGAACCTTTTTTTTTTTTTATATTTATGTTACATTCACTTTGCGTTTCTTATCTCTCAAACGTCGACGACGTTTTTTTCCTCGCGAGCGAGCGAGCGAGCGCGCACGCGCGCGCGTGCGTTCACTCCGATTAATTAATTAATTAATTAATCGAAGTATACATTTGGCATACAAAAATTACAAGGACAATTTTATAATGACAATGGTAGCAGCGCGGTAGCTTCGTTAATTTTTTTTCTGTGTGTGTGTGTAGTGTTAATAATAATAATAATAATAATAGATAACGGTAGTTCTCTATTAGTGATAGTATAGTCTCGTATAATAATCGTAGAGAGAGAAGTTAGTTATTTTAGCAACTATATAGCGGTAGTGATAACAATGTTACTTGGTAATATAATTCTTACAATTCATATAACTAGGAATTTTTATCCTGTTTAACCACCGTTCTATACGTATACTTGCATATAAAGCCCGATGTTACAGAGATATATTTCTCTCTTTTTCTTCTATTTTCACTCCCCCACCCTTGCTACTCTTCTTTCCTTTTTCTCGAAGGAAATTATCGTGAGATTTTTGTTTATAATGAGATGCGCAATTTTTTTGCCATTTGTTTTCATCTCTGCTGTTTTCTTCCCCCTCTTTGTGTTATTACTTTTTTTTTCTTTAATTAATATGCGCTTTCTCTTCGTTAGCAATGACGTTAACCGCTAGTAGAATTCGTAAATATATAAAGTCGATATGCGCTGCACACCGACGCGCGGCGTCCTTCTCTTTTTTGTTTTTTTTGTTTTGTTTTGTCCTTCGCGCGATAACACGCACATAATTACGCACAGATTTGATATCCATAACTCTCTCTCTCTCTCTCTCTCTCTCTTACGTGAATTCTCTATTGTTAACATCACAGCTGGAAAGTGCCCCGTGTAACTCACTCTTGCTACACATTATCTATACACCCACTGCGAAAAAAACATGAAGTAGTATATAAAGTCATTTGTGTGTCTTTTCTTGTTTCTTTTTTTCAAATGAAAGAACGTTACAAATTATTGTTTTTCTCGTAGCAATTGCTGCACAGTGCACTTGTACATTCTTTCGGATACTAGTCCGAAGCAGTTAGTATCCAGTTTTTTTTCTTTATCACAAATATCGTATATTTTAAAAAATCATTCAACACGTCTCTCAATATTGATTACACACATAGGAATTGGTCATATATATATATATATACATATATATATATATATATTTATGTACGTGTATATATTTTACGCTTAGTAAGTTTTATCGTTAAAAAATTCTTCTTTCCTTTAGTTAATTGTTTATCGAAGTAAAACCGCGTTTTTCTTTTTTTTCTGTTTTGTTTTAATTCGTATAAAAATTATTTGTTCTCTCAAGCGGTAATAAAATCAACTACAAAAAAAATACGCCAAATTATATCAGTTATATAAAATGCAGAACACCTGCAATTATATCGATAGTAAAATCTTCGTCTTTTTTCTTCTTGTATATCTATTTGTAAAGTTCTTATAAAAAAATCTATATAGCGTTGTAACTTTGTTTTTTTTTTTTTTTTTTGTATATCAATAATCCTTGTAAGAAGGATAATAAATCTATTATATAACTATGCACACGCGAAAAAATGTGCTGCTTTCCGTTATTTAATTTAATATTCAGTAACAATGAGTCTCTTCGTGCACTGTGTGTACTTTCTTTCTCTCTCTCTCTCTCTCTCACTTTCTCTCCATACGTGTATGTATGTATGTATGTATATATGTATATAGTGTATTTTTTTCATATATTATATATATATATATATCTAATTTATTTTTTGTTATATATATATGTATATACTACTTCATATTTAGGAAATGTTATCTCCCCGTGTTTGCAGCGTCATTGCAGTCTTTTTTGTCTGCTGGCACGATTATCTGCGAGATGCGTAGGTAACATAAACCTCTATGCAATATACGACGATCATATATGTGGTATGTATTTTCTACAACATAAATACTAAAAAACCATACACACACATTGTGGTGTAAAGTAACGTTATAAAAATTATATATTACTTTTCGTAATCGAACGCGTCTCACGTACTTAAACGTGTTTCTTTTTCCTTCATCGCGAAGTTAGCCCAATGAAAATCTAATCTGCAAACGCACATTGTTTTTCTCGAAATTTGAAATTGAAATTTCGATTGTGCACGTAGGTCCTTTTTCCTCAGAGACTAACGAAGAGTCGCGTCTTTTTTTTTCTTTTTTTTACCACAGTTCGCGAAGCAAGACACTTCACTTCCTTCTCTCAAATTAGCATACAATTTGTTTTTAATACATTTAATGCCCGACGATTTTCAATTGGAAAATTATATTACACGATTTGATTTACATCAGAAATGTATCGATCGCACATGTAGTTTGTGCAAAAAAGTGTGTTGATAAATCTATCTTTAATATACATATATACGGACTATATATATTGTACAAATTATAACAAAAAACATCGTACATATATATACATATACAATTGCTTGCGTTTTCAGCGCGTTTTCTGTTTATAATTAATCACACACATCCTATGTAATATTTCATATAGAAAAAAAGAATCTGTTTTCTCTCTTTTTTTTTGTTTTTTTTTTTTTTTTTTCACACGGAGAATCTTCGTGACACTAAGCTAGCTCGATGCAACAGAGCCGAGACTTGTTTCATTGTTAAATTAATTTTTATTTTGGAAGTATTTTTTTTTGCAACTTTTTAATAACGATTATCTCAATTAACTATTTTTTTTCTTTTAACTTGAGTATACAGTATAATAATTTTTACCACAATAGGTTTAAATTGTTTGAAAATTACAGATTATCAATAAATAATTCATATACATGCGTGTGTACATGTATATACATATATTTTTTTAAATATATATATACATACATGTAAACACATAATGCACACATATATATATATATACACACACATACATACACACATAGAGAAAGATATATATATATATATTCATATGTACACACACAACACACCCGCACGAACACGCATACAAATTTACACGCATATTTATGTACACTCTAATTAGCAGTATATATATATATATATATATATATATAGTAACATTTAACATATGTCGTACAAAAGTTTGGAATAAATCTGTTTTTTTTTTCTCTTTTTCTTTTCTTCCGCCAGCTCGGCCGAATTGAGCGTAAGGAAAGAGCGTAAGTTTCTTTCTCAACGAAAACATTGCGATCTCTTCACGAATAAAGTGAATGTAACGTCATTATACGCGCGTTGTCGTGCCCTCGCCTGGATAAAAAGCGTGCGATCGTTCAATCGGAAAACTACCGGGAGGCTCATTAAGAGGATTGCATGTTGTGATATGTGTATGAAGATGATTGGAAATTTCTACATAATATTGTGTATATACGATGATTATGTCTTTCTAAAAGCGCGCAAGAGAGAGATGGGATACGATTATACGCTTACACGATGTCGCGAAATCACTTCAACTTATAATCGAGAGAACTTTCCTTCTTCTTAGTATTGCTGAAGACAATTATATATTATATAGTCAATATAATACTGTAACAAGAGAATCGACACGTGTGTAAATAATAATAAACGTTGATTTTTCAAAAAAATTATATCAAATCGAATTACGTTTCGACTTCTTCAAACAAGTAAATCCGAGTCGTAAAGAGACTCTTGTCTGAATACAAGAGAAGAAAATCAAAATTTTGAAACGATAGTTTTTTTTTTGTTTTGTTTTTGAAAAAATTGTGTGTAGCACATATCGGAAAGCGGATCACATCCATAAATATTCTTATTTCTCTTTTATATATATATGTATATAGTCCAGCTCTATTCGATACCGATCAGTCGGAAACCTTGCGATACTCGGTTTTATTTTTTTAATTTTTTTTTGTTGTATTATATACGTAATGTGTGATGTATACATCTATATATATATATTTAGATACATAGAAGGCGTCGAAGCTGCTACATTACTAGTTCATGATGTGCAATATACGCGGGTTGCGAATGTGGTTATTTCTTTTTCGGAAGGTGTTTTTGTTTTTTTTGTTTTTTTTTTTTTGGAATGTGTCCATATAGAGATATTATTATTATTATTATTATTATTATTGTTATTGTTATTAACTATAGCACGCGTTAAAAATAATGTTCAGTCACTTTACAAATTTGCTGCAGACTCTTCCGAAGGGGAGAGACGGCCAGGTTCCATAAAAAAAAAAAAAAAAACGCAGACGAACACTTTCGTACACAATCATTCTCATATATAGAAATTAATAACGTACTACATATAGTTTTACATATGTACACACACGCAATTTCCTATTAGATCTTTGTTGCGACGGTAAGAAAAAAATAACAGAAAATCTTTCTCTGCGAGTTAAGAAACAATTACGATATTCGCGTATTTCAGAACGTTTGTGTTACCTCGATATCGCTTCGCGAAAAATAAGCAATTTGTTTTAGAGATAGTGTAAAACATACATCTCTGAATTTATGTAGAGAACACATAAAGTTATATAAATATATATATATATATATATATTTTTTTTTTACTGTATACAAGTATGCATGGCAACGAATGATTGATTTTCGCACGTCTGCAAAAGTAAACACACAAGTACCACCAACTTCGATAGTATTGAGGTAGCATAACGTTGTTGCTTTGGGTTTAACCGCGTACTCGCGTACGTCTCCGATGATTATATCTCTCTATACAAGTAGTATCTAAACCGATTGGTAGTATGAGAAAGAAAACGCGACGTGTCGGGAACGAAATGCACGTAGAATGTTAATTTGAGCGAATGCTATTTCAATCAACACTTGTGTCTCTCCGAAGACAGCCGACATTGCATCTTTTGTCGCACATGATCGCGACGAATCTTTCTCTCTCTCTCTTCCTCTCTTCTCTCGTAATGCAGATATATTTGATAAAAATCTTTGGTAGAAACTATTTGGTACGTTTACGCCCGTTCGGAAGGTCGTGCAGAGCCGTCGTGAAGCCTACTTATGAAACAATTTGCAAAGAGAGTACAGGTCATGGGAAACAAACGTCAACAACAATGATTGCTCAAGTATCAACAACATTAACAACATCAGCATCTATAACTTATCGTTCATTATTGTGATCGTCTTTTTTTATCTCTTATCTCTTGTTCGTTAATATAATTACCATCAATGTTTGTTTCAGTCTTTCACCGCACCTTCAGCTTTTTTTTATATATATATAATGATGTTTGTATATAATTGGTAATTACTCCCTATCACGCGGTCATTGTCTTCAGCAACATTATCTCTACTTTCGCTATGATTACAGCAGCTACGGGCATACTCTTAATTGTCTCTATGATCAACTTCCCTTCCGCATACTCCACATGTTCACACGCACACGCACACACGGTCGCACACAAGTTCTCCCTCACCACCAGTTATATAGTACACTTTGTATTGTTCCGCTATCGACCATGTGTCATTAACAATGAGCTATATTTGCATCTGAAAGGCGTAATTATATATATATATATATATATAAAACGATCTGCGCGCTCATAAGTGAAACTATTTGTTAATTTTTTGTTCTCAAACGAAACACCACGATAATAATCAACATTCACGTTAATTGAGACCTGTCATATCTTCGCACAAAATATTAAATCCAATATGAATTGTTCTCACTTACGTATGAAATTAGTCCCTACTTATAAAAATTCAATCGCGAGTCTCTCTCTCGGTTAAATCTTACAACACACTTACTAACACACATTTGTATACTTGCAAATATCTCGTAGTATAAAATATCCATTTCTCTTTTTAATCCTTTTGATGATGATGAACAAAAAAAAGCGTGAAAAACTTGGAAAGTAATCGATCGATGCATCACTCGTCGCACATGTGTGATTTACGCAATGTATTACGCGCTAATGCGTGTATATATTTTGTATACAATCTGTAGAAATGTTTGAACATCTTCATCGAAAAAAATAAAAAAGAGAATACTTCGGAGCTCCATTTGTGAAAAAAGAAAAAAAAACGAATGACATTTAATGTTTGATGCGTAATTTGTGTAGTTTTCTCGATTCTATAGATACGGAAACATAGAACGCAGTCTTCTCGTGTGTACGACATGTAAGATCCCATAGAGCTGATACACATGTGAGGGAAAGTAATGATTCTACACCAGAAAATAAAAGAGAAAAAACTATCTTCTCATGTAATTTCACTCTTTCCTCGATCGACCAGTCACAGAATTATCTTCTACGTGCTAATATCTTATCGACCGGACTATATAATGCTGACTTCACTTTCACGTGACAATCATAGAATTATGTCAAGTGAGTTTTTTGTCTTTTCCAAAAGAACGCAAGTTTGAAGGTTTTTGTTATCTAATAAGAAAAAAAAACATTTTTATGCATCGTCATGTTCCAGAATGCAATTATTTAAAACACTGGTGCGTATCATCCGCGGTAGACGATAACATCTTACGCAATAGAATGTCTCGCATCAATGAGGTATTAGCAGTTTCTTCTTCTTCTTCTTCTTCTTCTTCTTCAAAAAAAAGTCAATAAAACCTGTCCTTTCGATCCTGCGTCTTTGTGCAATATAGAGTTAGTAACTTACGCTGCCTTAAGTGTATATTGAACATTTATATAAGTACACGTTGGACGCGAACGTGATGGTTGTAAGAGTAGTAACAAATGTTAATCTACCGCGCGACGTCATATACAATAATACTGAGACTACGGATTATCAACACCTTTCGCAAATGAATCAAGCTAAACTCAGAAAAAATTATTGTCATAAATTGTCTGCAACTGATATCTCGAGCTTTCCTCTCTCTGTCTCTCTGACAGAGAGAGAGAGAATGCTATTGTACACATCGTCGTAATGCTTTTTTTTTTTTTTTTCTATTAGGTGTCTATAAATCCAATGACTGCTTGCTACATTTCGATATCTATGTGAAAAAAAAAAAAAAAAAAAAGGAAGAAAAATCATTCGTACGCCTCTTCTTTTTCTTTCTCCGTTCGTTGGCTACATAGCCAACGAACGCGGCATGATGCAATTTACACGCGTGTGCACACACGCGGCGTAAAAATCGATCAAATGGATCCCTAGCGTATTGAATGCATAATAAGCTTATCTTATAATAGCTTTTTATGTCAAAACACACCTCGGTATTTACCAAATGTCACATTTGTCATAACAATATGAAGATATTCCTAGCGTGATACTTAAAGCTTTTACAACTTTTACAACACATTTGCGCATAGATAGTAGCGATAGCTGGGGTTTTGGACTAGACATGATGCGGTTGAATATGCGGCAGCCGACTTGACGAGGTGGATCAGGATTTCATGCTACTGTTCTCGTCCAGCCGTCTCTCGGTCGCTACCGCCAGCAGATTCGAAAATTCCATCTCTAGCAGTTGTCTCGCCTGTGAAAAAACAAACGACGTACAGCACGTTCGACGTTTTACACAAGTAACGATATGAACGCGGTAGGATAAAATTCTTGGAGATACACGCCGCGTTTTTACCTGCGTATTCTGTGTGGGAATTTGTAAAGCTAATGCAAAACTATTAGCATCGAAACCTTCGTCTATAGCTATAAGCGCGCCGTGCACACCCGATTCCAAGAGATTATTTCCGTACTCCTGCGAAAATTAAATCGCAAATAAATATATTCTTCTCGTAAATGACCGACTGTCCGGTGAAAACACAAGAAAAAATGACGAGACGATTAACCAACCTTCAAACCGATCGACTGAACCCATCTTATGACACGATCGTTACTCCATACAAGTACATCTATATTGGCACTTTCTGCCACTCGTCTTCTTTCCTCTAATTGTTGTCTATCGTAATTTAATCGCTTTAAACAGGAAATACCGTACTGCAAACTTGTTCTGAAAGAAGAGCAATTTATTGGTCACCTTGTCAACAAAATAAATAAACTATTCTCTAAATGGTATATAATAAAAATATCAAGTTGTTCCTTTATTACGTACCTGTGGAAGCTGTCAACCATTCTCAGTTGACCACGAAGATCTTTTTTTGTAAGATGATCGAGCATTCTAGCATCAACAAGGCACTCCATGAAAGTGGATCGGTACTGCGGCAATCCGAGGCTCGGTAACCAGACATTACCTATCCACTCGTGATTCATATCACCAAATGCTAATGTTGTGCGAGAAGTTTTTGGCGCTGATGGACTCGTGAGCGACACCATCTCTTGAATAGCTAGTCTCAGTTTTAACCGATGCAACGGATTGCTATCATCAAGATACAGATATGTACATACATGCGCGTGAATGCGCGCACGCGCGCGCGTATGTGTGTGCAACAAATTCCGATTCAATCATAAGCTGTATGTTTCACGCTATGAGACGAATCCATAATGACTGTGATTTTGTGTGTAAACATAAATTTGCGTACGCGTAGTATCATACCTTATACCAATTTCCCGTTGAATCTCGGTATCACTGAGAGCACTCATGATAGCACCACTTTTGACGTTTGCTCGACAAGCGGCGACGTACCACGTCGGCATGCCCACCCAGAGCTCCAGCCACGCGACTACCGTTGGTCCATTCCATAGTGCAAAAGGTGTTCCGGCTTTCATCGCTTCCGCCAAAAGCTCATGTCGCGACGAATCTAACATACTACCAAACATGCTTGGACTAAAACATTAAATACGTATACACAAGATTGCAATATTTACAAAAAATATTTTCTTTACGAGTTTACTGTATAACGCAATACAATATTAGACATGTTTCACATCACATATAATGCGTTATATTTGGGCATCTGAACGAATACACAAATGACAATTATATTGCTGTGTATATAAATATAAAAAACATTTTTAATAAGAAATACAAAATATATCGATTCTTTTACTTTGATTTGTACTCGAGCACGCGAATTATTGTAATTTTGATATATATACGTACCTCTTCTTTTTCCTGCGATCGAAGTCGCTCTTGCTCACAAGTGTTCCGGCCACAGACACACTGTCCCCGTAATCAGGATCAGCTGGTGTACTCGCACCTCCCATACCCGGTACGTCTCCCGGCATCGGTGTATCCTTCCCTTTAATCTACGCGTATTAAAACATGACGACTGTTTCGCAGATAATACTTTTGTTTTCTTTAATTTGTAGACAAAAACAAAGGTCTCTCACCTTTTCCTTTTTGCTGAAAAATCTACCGAGACTGCTTTTAATGCCCTTCTTTTTTTGCGCGGCCGCGACCGCGGCAGCCGTGGCGGGACTCATGGTTGATTGCATGTGCAAATGCGACGTTGACAATTGTGCGATAGGCAATCCAACGCTGGAGAAGTTGTTTTTGTGCAAACTGTCCTGGCTGCTGTGGCGTGAGGACAATGGGGAAGGAGGAGTTCCAGAATTGAGTGCGCCGTTGTTATGTCCATGCCTGCTGCATGGAGCGCTAATCTAGTTTCTATTTCTACTCTAACATAAAATACTACATTCTAGCCCACACAAGTACACTATTTTTTTCAACGACTCTTTCAACTCATTCTATAATACGTACATACGTGTAATATGTATATACGCAAACATGTTATACATAATAAAAAAAAACTCTGAAAATACGTTGCTACTCTTTTTGTGAAAAAAATAAAATTAGTATTATAAATACTACAAGTGTAATTCCCTCTACGAGAGAAGATACGAAACGACATTGGCAGTGTAACAAAATGTCACAAAAATATTACAGTTTAAATAAGGATTGCGTTCTGAGCCGGCTCTTTGTCGCTTTTTTTTTTATTCTATATAAACAAGCGTAGATACTTATTCTCGATTATTTTAAAAGACAAATTTTAAAAAATCGAAGTACATTAAGAAGTGCTTGCATCATCATGTATTTTGCATTTTAACGCATGTGTTTGTAATATCTCATCTGTTCTATATCTTTGCAATCTTTGCACAACCTTTTGCGCGACCGGCGCATTTCGTGCATCGAATCCAATTCTCTCGGTTTCGTAAGTTCCTTTATCTGTCTAAGATCGCGATGCTTATCGTGAACTGGGCAGGCTTGAATGTATGACGGACGAAAGAAGCTAGTAGTGTCAGTCTCTTCCGAGATTTCATGTCTATCGGGCCTATCGGGTTTATCAGGCGCTTCATTCCTGCCACTGTGCTCGAGAATCGGTACTGCGGGCATGTAAATCGGTACTATGGCATTCTCTCATAAATTTCCGAATAAGAAGAATCTGATCTTTTTATATGTACAGTAGCAAATTCACTTAAACGATGAACAAGTGTTACCGTCGATGTGATTAGAGCTGACTTGGATGTTATTCTCACGCCCACAAGTGCCATTCAAATGTGTCGTGCACAGCGGCATGTAACAACGCGCTTCACATGCAGTAGTAGTAGTGTCTTTAATTAACCTGTACGTGGGGAAACCACTGCTCGGAAATCCGCACTGTCCGGTACGTCTGATAGCATAAACAATGAAAAGTACGAACAACTTAAGAGATAATGGCTAACTCTGGCTGATCTCATCTCCATGCACATATACAATACAATTAAGATTACAGATATCACTTTTTCAGGTTTCCCCACATTAAGAGATTTCAATATAATGCGATATTTGTTTTTTATACACCATTTTTTTGCACCGATTATTAAACTTATCTTGACTTTCATCTTCAGAGATTTGATTGCCAAAGTGTAAGAAATAATTTAAATTATTGCTGAAGAATATAAGTCAACGTAAAACACAATGTTAAAAAAGAAAAAAAAATCAATCATTGAGAGTCGAGAATCCAGCAGCAAAGTCCAGCAAATCCAGCAACAAAAAAAAAAAAGATATACCTTCTAAGTTCCTCCTGACTGTGAGCCAAGGCCTGAACGACTCGTTCCAATCTCAGAGATCTGGCCGTTAGAGGCGAAGCCGCGTCGCTACCGCCGCTTCCCGCACCGCCAGTACTGTCTCTCTCACTAACTGAGTGCAACTCTTCTCCCGACAACTGTAACTGCCATAGACAAAAGATATTGTCTACGTATATCGAATTAAAATCCAATTGTAACAAAACTTATTACGAAACTGTAATAAGTTGCTGTAATGTATTTCGTTATTCAACAAATACAACCAAGTTTCATTGGCGTCAGTCTAATAATAAAATCAAGCTGAATATAGTGTCCGCACAAACCTGGCTAGCAGGAAGAGATTCCGACAGTTGACCCGGACTAGCTAAGGAAGCGGCATATTGATGCAGATGCGCCGGAGACATAGACGCAGGTGCCTAGGAGGTAACAAAAATATTTCGTCGTTATTACGAATGTTGCAAGCAAATAATGAGATCAGCTTGTAATTGTTATTGCAATTAGTAATTACGTGATTACTAACGGTGTGGTACTTATGCAAATAATCCCTGTTTGGACTGTGATGTGATTTTGGAGTGGAACGTCCGCTCAATGGCGGCGATGCTCGTTCCAAACTTCGACCTCTCGCCAACAGATTCATATGCTCGAGACTGCCGACGCGAGACTCAAGTTCTTCCGCGCGTGCTTCCGTGCTCTGCTTTTCTTCCTACAAAATCCAATTCAAATGTGGAAATGACATAATATAGATTAAAATAAATTTGCATGCGAAAACTTGCGCAATATCAATTACCTGAATTAATCTAATCTCTTTGTTAATAGCATCTAATTGTTCCTGCAGCATCAACGCTAACGTTTGGGCGTCCGTGTGCCCGGTAGGACTAATTACGTCAGCCGCGCAACTAAATATACTTTCGTTATCTCCGTCTCCCTCGGCGTCACTCGAAACGTCAAACGCTTGTTGCACGTTAGCGAGTACGTGCGCTTGTTGCAACTTTTCCCATTCCTGCTCCGCTAATGTTCGCGCCACATAATTCTGTGAAGTAATCAATTATTCGCTGATGTAATCATCATCAAATAATTTTTATATCTCAATGCGATACCTTCGACGAATCGTCTTCGATAGATCGTTTACCACCTCTTCTGGGCAACGAATGCGTATCGAAACTACTGTGACTCGCGCTCCTCGAGAAGGAACCCGGATCTACCGCGTTTGGTGATAAACTCCTCGTCAGCGCGTCCGTTTGTTGAATGTTAAATGCAATTTCCTGCTGAAGCATCTGTCTCTTAACGTTATCGATTTCCAGACGCGCTTTTCCCAATTCCTTAACGATATCGGCTTTCTCGTTTTGCAGATCCTCCGCTATTTTTCTCGTTTTCTCGAGTTCCTGAGTTAGCGCGTTTTTCTCTTCTAAAGCGTGCATCCTTTCTTTCAAATGCACTTGCAATCTTTCATTAGATTCTAAACAAACATTTCAATTTTTATAACTGCACTCAAAATTTACTCGAAAAGTATACGTACTCATATAGACATTTGTGTGTGTATATATATAAACTTGTTTGTTTTTAATCGCTTCACTTTTAAATGTGAGACTAAATTGATAAGTTACACGCAAAAAATATTACGCAAGAATTACCAGATAAAAGTTTATCGACGGTTGTACTAAGACGCGTATTATGTTCCTCATTCATTTTAAGTCGTTGATTAACGCGCATTATTTCAGCATTTTTTTCTTCTAATTGCGCTTCCAATCTTTGGATTCTATCCTCCGCGCTACCATGCCTCTCCTGAGCCTGCTTAAATGTTTCACAATTAAAATTATTTGAGTCAGTTTGTTGTTATTTCAATTCTACATAATAATATAATGATTGATTTCATGATCAGATAATGATGTGTTTAATTTTATGAAGCCATTTCATTTCTACATACTACGAACTATTTTTCTCTCTTTAAACTTTATAATTATTTAGATTTGACATTGATGTCACTATCGCAAAGATTGATCAAATCAGGACAGTTACTGAATTAATATATATATCTTGCATAATTTTTATAAGTTTGTTTTTCTTATTCTAATATTTTTATAGATAAGATCTAAGATAAAATTATTCTATGATATAGAAATATGTAGTTACAAAAAAAAATATATATATATATAACAGCGTGTTATATCCAGATGAGCGAGAAGAAAGAGAATAGAGAGAATATATTATATTGACAAACACATTCAAAAAAAAAAAAAAAAATTCGCACGCTAGAGTAATATGTAAACTGTATATATATATGTGTGTGTGTGTAAGTTTATACATGTTGTATGAAACATATCCGTCACTTGTAGAGTGAAATTTGTACAAACCAGATTGACGTCTACCATTCATGCTGCGTTATATCAATTCGCAAATCATATTGAGATCGAACGAAATTAATTAACGTGTGTAACATTGAGTTTCGTAAAACTAAAAAAATTTTTTTAACTCAAACAAATGAATTCTGCACGTATTCAGCTTGTATTCAGAAATTAGCGAGGAATCGTGTGATTTGAGAAACGTAAAAACGCATTGTGGTGCATTTGAAAAATACTCGATTGTATGTATATATATACATATATCGAATGCTATTGTAACAGTAATCAAACATGGAGCAGCAAATCATTGTTCTCTAATCGTCTGAAATCATCTAAACTCAATCAGAATGTAAAGAAGAACAGTTTGCAGTGATGAATGCATATTGAGAAAGACAAAGCTCTCTAAGACTTATATAAGACATAAATCCGTATCTCGGGAAACGTTATATAGAGAGTGCAGAGGAATAAAACCAAGGAGAATTGACTATGTGACGTGATATGATTCCCCTGCGTACCTGGTTGGGCCTCCTCACCTGCGTCAGAGCCTCCATCCTTTGTTTTAATTGTTCTTCCATTTCTGGTAACTTAGAATATTGAGTTAATTTTTGTTCCGCGAGTTCTAATTTTTCCTGTATAGCCGCGATTTTCTCTTCTTGGAGCTTGAAACAACACGCATTTCGACAATTAATCACGAAAATTATCCATATAAACGTTACACACAGTTATAGTCAGATATAATGCAAAACCGATCATTTACCTTTAGTTGAGCTTTCTTATGCTGTACCTCCTGCTCCAACTTCTCATTGAGGTCATTAAGACTAGTGGACTCCCGTTGAGCATTGAGGTAACGTTTCTCTAAAGTCGCTATTCGTTCTTCTTGGTCCTCTTTTTGTGCCGCATTTTCCCGCAGATCTCTTTGCAATTTGAGGCCCGTTTCCTGCGCCTTCAGAAGCTCTTTTTGCGTTTTCGACAGCGTTTCTTCTAACTCGGCAACACGTCCGCTCAGTTCCGCTACTCGTCGTTGCCACGTTATTAATTCTGAACTCTAAAATAACATATTTCCAGTATTTCATATCGAACGTGTCGATCATTTTCGATAAATGCTTGCTACTTTGCTTGTATTTACCATGAAAATTAACAAGTTTTACATACTTCTCATTGTAAAACTCTCATTTTCTCTCTTTGTCAGAGACACATATCATTCGACAATTATTGTTCTATATAAACGTTACAACTAATTTGGGTAAAAATTGTTTTACACTATTATTCATAAGTGTGCTTACGTGTGTGTTGTGTGTGTACGTGTGTGTGCGCGGGAGTGTTTACATTTTTCATGTCTGTCACATTAAGGAAACGGCAAAGCTCTTTAAACGAGAAATACTGACTTATATAGAGAATCTATTCTTTAATCACTATCTCATGCGATAAAAAAGGGACATAAACATGAATATGTATTGCCATTACATATAACATGCCGTAGGCATCACTAAAAGTGTTATTTCGATAGAAAACTATAGTCCGCGCGTTACGCGCGCTATATATATGTAACACAAATTATGTTTTATAAATATTAAACTAACTCACACATTTGACACATACTATATTATACTATATTATAATGTACATGTTTCTCTTATATGGGTATAGATTTTATACGTACAGGAGATATCTCAAAGTTACACGACAGAAAGAAATCTAATATCAAAACGTCAACATTCATGATTTTTCATGATATAAAACGCACTTAAAGCTAAAACAAATCAGATTGCATTTGACGTTTTAATCGATTTTGGGACACCTATATATAAGTAAGCTTGTATGCGAAAATCGTGTTTATATGCATCTGAAAGAAATTTACTTCCTGCTACAATTTTGTTTGTCATGTGAGACGCGAAAAGAAGATAGAATCTACATCACGTTCATTCTTCATGACTCATGCACTCTATGAAATGAGATAAACATGTGATAATGTGCATATATAAACTTGTTTTTAATAGAACAAATAATTTCTTATCCCACATACATATAGATATATCTGAACAAAACTAACTAAAAAAGTTTTTTTAAATAATAAAAACACGTTTATCGAGATAGAGACACAGAAAGTGTCGCTCAATATGTTCTTTACTGCTCACACTATGCTTGATGTGCTTAAAGTGGGTAAATCATGCAAAATCGAAAATGGTATCGTTTTGCAAATATATATATATATGTACATATATATGTATAATATACATACATATATGCATACATATTATGTATACATATATAATAAAACTGGATATACGTTGCAGGGATAAGTCACGTAAGAACTAATCGGAATTTTTCGACAACATATTTAATAGAGATGAAGAAACTACCTGACTGTTCTGTTTACGGTTGGATTTTCTCTCTAGCCATTTCGTCGTATAAATACTGATTCGTACCTGCTTGTCGATAGTGGCTTGCAAATCTATTACTCGCACCGCGGAGTCCTGCTCGGACGGATCGAGACTCCCATTGCTGAGCCTATTGCCGACTTCAGCGGACTTCTCTGTACCTGGCTTTTGTACCAATTGTTGTTGTTGCTGTTGCTGCTGTTGCGATTGGTGTTGCTGATGCTGCTGGTGCTGGTGCTGCTGTTGCTGCTGGTTTTCTGTCTGCTCAGTCTCATTCTGCCCGATCACAACACTACATTCAGAATGCCTCACTCGCATTGCCTGTCCTGCATCGCCGCGCAATTCCCAAAAACTACATATACACAACTACGCGACTGTACAACTATATCACATGCATGAGATACTACGATAGATACATTTTTTTGGAGATGCAGCGAATCGATGAATGGACGAAGTAAACATTGCTTATATCACATATTGTTTGTCATTTGAGACACGAGAGCACTTTCAAGTGATAATGCTGTTAAAAAAAAAAAAACAAACAAACAAACAAATAATAAAAAAAACTCAAATAACAACACAGAGACTGTGTGTGTTATAAACTTTATCAATATTTTAAACATATATTTAAATAAATATCTATTTTCTTTAAATGTTTCTCCGTATATTTTCTTTTTATGACATGAAACATGAAAAATGTTTTATACAAATGAAAAATGAATTCTAAATTTACGATCTAAATTACTGATAACTTAACATCGATGAAAAATATGTTGATTATCTTAAGGAAAATTATAAAAAAATTATATTATTGTTACATTTTTTATTCGACTCACGTCTCTCTCTTTCTCTTTTTCATTCACGCACACACACACACTCTCTTTCTCTCTCTTTCTCTACTTCAAAACTAAATTTTATGATATAAACTTTAATGACACATAAAAACTAAGATGACTATGAGACGTCAAGTAAAGAGCGAATAGGAGACAGGATATGTGCTAAACATGAGCATGCAAAGTGAGAAAAAGATCCACAGATGCAGTTTCATGACTTTCAGACAAATTTTTAAAAAACACTTCCACTTATCCATGATCGAGGTGCGAGGTTATGAAAAGCGATAATACGGTGTGTGTAATGTGAATATCTGTGAGAACGCTTGTGCACCGCATGTCGGTTAAAAAAAACAAACAAAGAAAAAAATAGTTATTGATACGTCGTTGTCGATACCTTGTTCTGCTGACCTTCGTCCGCCTGTCCGTTTTCTTTCGGTCTATCCTCTATAGCTTTTGGCGTGTGCCCGCTTACTTTATACTGCTGGAGCTGCAATCACACAATCGGCGATAGCGAACAAGTCACATACAAAGTATTGTCAGATTTAACACCTTCTAAAAAATTGCCTCAGTTTTCACAGTTTTACATCTCGATTTAATAATAAAAACGAAACTCACTTCTTCTTTGGTATGGGCTAGTTCCTCCTCGAGACTCGTATTTCTCTCAAGAGCCACACGCAAACGCTCACGTACCTGCAAAGAGTTAATCAGTATTAATCCCTCAGAAAGATCTTCTCTTTCGCGTGCAACAGAAAGCGTTAATTACTAATTCATTAATTATAAAAAATATACTATATATATATATATATAATTTTTTTGTTTTGTTTTATCCTTCTGTGCCGCCGCGCGTGTTTCTTCCTTTGCGAGAAATTCTTTCGCGAAGCCCGGTCTGTGGAGAAACTGAGATATACGAGCGAGAGAACGCGCTGGATGAAATAGCGTGAATACCTTTTCGTCCAAAGCTTTGTGATGCTCGAACAAACTTTTCAAAGCTTTTAGTACTTCCACCTCAGACGACACGCCGGATTGTGCGGCGGCTTGACGTTTCACAACCGTCATTCTGAGCGATCGTTCGTGTCGCGACACTAAACATTCCAGGTGTTCCAGCAGGAGCTAGAAGAAAAAGTCGAACACGTTTTTATTAATTGCGATAGCGAATTTTTGAATCTTTCAAGAGCATTTAAGCTCGTAGTTCTTTTTTTTTTTTTTTTTATCGTTCCTTGATGAACATTTTATCTCTCTAGCGAGAGACACTAATTAAAACACTAAGACAAAGCAAGTTACAAAAAAAAAAAAAAACTAAAAGGTACGAAAGGTGTGGCTACTCACGCGTGTGTTGTTTCGTTCCGCTTTCAACTCGGAAATCTCTTCTTCTCTTTCTAAGATGTTCTCCCGTGCCGCCGCCAATTCCTTCGTCAGTTGCGAAAATTCCTGCGCAAAAAAATGCGAAGCGACACGTGCTTAATGACATGTACCTATGAATCGTATGTGAGTAAGAAATAAAATTTGTTGTCGCGTTTAGAAGATGAAACCACTGTATATTAAATGTATGTCACGATGAAAACGAAGCAAAACGTTTTTCCGAGAAAAATCACCTGCGACAACACGCGATGGATCATACGAGCGTCCTTCGTATTGTCGAACAGTACTGATCGACACGCGGAATCCGCATCGCTCCACGATCTCTTACGGAGCTGCGTTCCGAGAGAAGAATCCTGACTGATATTCCTACTAAGTAACGGCGACAGAACTGCGGACTGAATAATTTCGCGCGCGTTACTCTCGTTCGACATCCGAACAACTTGAACGGTTCGCATTGAAATTTGTTGTCGAGTTGCAAATATTCTCGGCAGCTTCTTCGATTAAGTCTGCGGGACACGACGTCAAATATTGACTCTCTTCCGGTTATTCCTCAATACTTCTTAATTTTCTGCTGTTCGTTTTCATGTTTCTTTTTTTTTAATTATTATTTTCACACAGTTTATTATTCACCCAATTTATTATTCAACGACATTCATTCGGCAACAAATCCGCGCTGCTTCTCATTCTTATCTGTCATCGGTAAAAAAATGTCAACGACACACACACACACGCACAATTGCTTTCGATAATATCGAGGCGCCAAAGATAAGACGAAGAGATAATGTGTCTATGTGTGGAATATCGTGTGACAAATGTGTGTGTGTGTGTATCAGCACAATATAAACGTTCAATATTATTGCGTATAACCTTTGTCTTTTTTTTTACGCGCCGCGTATATCTCTATTTATAATTTAACATTTACTCGAGTAATAACCTTTTCGCGCAAACGCAATGTAATCGCGAATTTAAATCGCCGTCATCATGTGTGTTCGCTCGCGCGCGTCAACCGAGCGAATCAATATTGCGTGAAAATTATCGTCGACGCGATAGTGTTTTGACGACACCGCACACACGCTCTGACCGCGTCGTCGATGGATCGATATTAGCGCAGACGGGCACAATTTATTTCTGCAACTTTGTGTGTGTGTGTGTGTGTTCAGCAATTTTTACACTGAATATTAAAACCACGGGTGGTTTTAATTCTCGAGCGGTTCTGACACCGCGTCGAAATGTCAGTCGTGGCGCGGCGAAGGTCGCCACCACGTGTAAAGTTGCATGCAAAATATCGAATGTCGCGGAGGGAGGAAGGGAAATATTTCATTTGTTTCTCGATGCGTGGGACGACGATGTTACATTTAATTTGTTGTTTCCTAAGCGAAAACCGTGTCGAGCGATCAATCAGATCAAAATCTGGCCTCGATTGTGAGATCGATTCTTTCACGCTTCCTTCGCGCGATGACAATACCACGGAAAGAGAGAGAGGCGCGTTCTTCTTCCTGATTTTTTGTGTGAATTTCCTTTCCTTTCGCGCAACAGACGAGACTTCGAAGGATTCGTCGTGAAAATGCGTTAATTTTTTCTCTCGTAAAAAGAGAGCGTCACCAACAAACACCAAAAACACTTCCTCTCCCGAGGAGAGAAATTATCTGGATGTTTGTTCGCAAAATCGCGAATCACTTTTTCTCTCGTGCGAGGAACGTTTGCGCCGCGTCGCACAAGGTGATTAAATCGCCGCGCGCGATCACGTGTTTTCTTTCGTATGAGAAGAAAATTGCGAAACTCCAACTTCTGCGATGCGCCACATACGACGACGGAAAGGAAGGCGCGCGCGATATACCGAACCAACACGCGAAATCGTACTGCGTTGGCTGCGCGCTATACGGACAGACGACGGTGCGCTCGACAGTGTGTTAAACAAGAAATGTAGGTTAAAAGAGCAAAGGGGAGGTTTTGTCCCCGCTGATTCGCGCGCGCAACGATCTTAGATTAACCTGTTCGGTTAATTTTACTAACGGCGCTGAAAAAAAAAAAAAAAATCCATGTAGATTTTCACGCTACGTACATTATATGTGGAACAATGGTTTTAATTCCGTCGCCCGACATCCGATAACGGTTTTTTCACATTTCGGTGATTTCATCTTTTACACGAGCGACACATGCCGGGGATGTGTCGTTCGCAAAAAAACGTTTCGCGTATAACACCTGTGTAACAATAGCAGATACGTTACTTTACAAGGCACAAATCTGTCGCGTCCGTAAATAAACAGATTTGTGCCTACGATTAGATTAAAATATTACAGATAGGAAATTATTATTCAAATATCACATTGTGAAAAAAAAAGAAGTGTGTCGAAAATTGAATAAAAACGGGTCACTCCGATACACTTTGCACGTTTGATCGGTATTTTTTTTATTACGTAGAACTGGACGAGAATCTTTGATGATATTGAGGTGCAAATATCTACTGAAAGACAAAACTTGTCATTGAATGAGTTCCCCCAAACTCGATTGCTGACGAGGAAGGAGAAGAGGAGGTCGCAGTAAATGAACTCACTCACAAAAACGAAACCCTCGCGAGTATACGACGAGATTCTCGAGGGAGAGAGAGAGAGAAGAAATTCTACGGAGAGAAATGTGCGAAATAAAATAGCATCCGCGACCTCGCGGTGCGACCCGCGAACTTTCGACACGATCTACTAAAAATATCGCGTCCGAACATCAATCTGACCTACAAAAGAATTTTATAATACAAATCGAAGATCTCTACAAGCTAAAAAATTAATTTATTCCATTTTAAATAGAAACGTGATGTATTTCTACAAAAAAAAAAAAGAAAAAAGAAAATATCGCTCGATTTGACAATCTCGCGGCCTGTTGTACGACTTGGATCACGAAAGGTGTTCGCATCTATGTAGTTTTTTTTTTTCTACGTACAAAACCCGTTCCGCAAAAAATTCGTATAAATATTAATGAACTTTTGCAAGCACACATTACAAAAAAAAAAAAAAATCATAAAACCGAAGTGAAACGAACGCACAAAGCCCCGTGTGTTTATTTCCGCGCTTTCAGAGCGTGTGTTTCTTATACGTAGGCTCGTCGTCCGACACGTTCTCAAAGACGGTCTTTATTACGCACGATGCATCATGTATAATGTATCCGAGAGATTGCGTATATCACAATGAGCATCTTGAAAGCGAAATGCCAGCGCGTCCCGGACAATTCATCTCGGATAAAAATATAATGAGAAAATCGATCTAAATATATAATCCGCGTGAGGCGGTAAGTATGCATGCGTTATTAAGCAACAGGTTTCCAATGCTACAGTCAAGGGTGTGAAGTTGCTCTCTCTCTCTCTTAGAGCTAGAGTGTTAGAGTTCGGCGTGAAAATAAAAACTTTTGTTAAAAAAGAAAAAAACTCTCACACCAAGCATCAATCGCTGAAGAGGTGCTATTCTATTCCTGAAGTGATAAAAAATTTGTAGAAAAACTCAGGCGATCAAAAGTGGAGTCGAGAGTCAGAAATTATTGGCGTGACTCGCGAAGCGAGTTTTTCTTTTTGACACGCGAGACACGAAAATTCTCGACGAAATTTCTCACGTCGTGTAATTTAGTTTAATTTCGGGGAAATGACTCTCGAGAGAGAGTCGCGAAATACGCGTTAGGATGAGCGCGTTTTCCGACCGGTAAACCAATACTATTCTATTTCGATGCTAATGCTCCAACACGCGCTCGTCCTATATTGGCAATTCTCTGACCATAGGAATTATAGCTGGACACCGAACACATGTTTCCTGCAAGACCGCATGCGTCTATTGCGGGTTCGAAGCAGCTCTACAACGACGATTGTTATATATATGTGTGTGTGTGTGTGTGTATTCCGCCATCTGTATGTTATCGGAATATATGCGAGATTCTGCGTTTATGCACTTCGATAACATCCGCGATTGCGATATTGTATTTGATTTTAACACCGAAATGTCAATCAAACGTCCGTCGAAATGACGGACTTCAGAAACGCAATCTGTTTGCAAGAAATATAGGTTCCGTAGGTAGGTTTTTTATTTTAAGAAAAAAGAAATAAGAGTAAAATATTACAAAACAGCTTTGTTAACTTGTTCCTTTTTAATTAGTACAATAATAATAAAGTGAAAATAATAACGAATATAAAACGTTTTTTGTTCCCGTCGAACTGACGAGTGTGCATGTAAAAACTCCTACATTCAATTCTGATTGTTAAAGAGCATCGATATCGGAGTTTCGCAACGCGCGAATCTCGACGAGATTTCCGACGACGATCAAAGAAATTGTCGACATAAAAATAGTTTAAGCACGTCGGAATGCGGTGAAGCAAATCTTGCATCGCACCTGCGCGACAAGTGTAACATATCACGTGGATAAAAAGACGGATGCAAAAAAAAAAATTGTTACAATACAAAAAATAAAAAAAAGCAAAAGATGAAATGTAATGCAATTTACACAATACTGACCGTCGTTGCGGACGAGTTTTGTTCACGCGTCGCGATTTTAAATGCCGTTCGCATGACGCAAAGTCGAACGGCAATAAACGCGAACAACAATATCTGTCTATTAGAACGGACAAACAATAATAACAACAACAAGACGCGTGGGTGTAGCGTTGTCCAAAATTGCAATTGTCGAAGTTCGCGTGGTAAACATTGACTTCGCGTCAATCGGGAGAACGACGAGGGGAGGAATATTCGGTCGCGATCCAATTCTACTCCCGATGAAACTCAAGACAAACAGGTGTATTAAATTCAACGATTCGTGCCGGGGCGAAACCGGCACCCACGTGCTGCGATATTCCAGGATATATCTCGTGTTTCCTTCGCGCGCGGTAGGTGTATCTGGTTACTTATTAGCTAGGTATGCGCGAGGCGGGGTGTGGCGGACGCGACGACGAAAGAGGCGTGCATTGTATCTATATATGTGCGTTTTTTTTTTGTTTTTTTTTAAATGCGTGCGTGGCCGCTTACTACCGTCGGTGTGTGTTCCTATAACCGACCGTCGTTTTATTGCCGCCGCGTCTCGACGACATACAGGACAGGTTG